GTGGTGGTGTGAGTCGAAGGATTTCATTGGAGGCTTTCTGGCGCACACGCCCCTGCTGTCTGGGGCACGAGCCCTTGCCCCTGCCGCTCCATCCCTACTCGGCCCTACCCACTCCAACTGTGCCAATGTCAAGCTGGCCCACACATCTACGTTTCCCTTCGTGCTGCTCAGGGCGATGAGGCTTCTCTGTATCACACAAGCACTCCAGGATGGGTGGGTGACTTGGGCGGCAGAGTGCCCAACACTGATCGTGTCCCGCACGCGGTCGACTTCAGTCCTCGTCAAATGGCTCGCGATCCAACGAAATGCAGCTCTGCAAATTGCACGTTAAGGCCAGGCTCGGAGTCAATCTCTCCACAGCGTCGCCTCCTGAACCCACTGCTGCCCACATTTTCCAAGGGGGGGAGTGGACACCGGTCAACAATCATTTAGGAGCCATCTCGGCATTCTCAGGCAACGACCGACAGGTGCTGTACGCTGGTCAGCCTGCGCCACATGCTCCTAAAATCAATCAAACCAAAAAGCATTCCTTCCAGACTCAGAGCTTTCCAGGTTTTTCATTCTCTGCGAACTCTGGTATATATACGAGTTTTACCGATCTCAGCGGTTTTATCAAAGGCAGCTGCAAGAGGACATTGACTAAAGCATCTGTTTATATCTCATGGGCCATGCAAAGCCCTCTGACCCGCTCAACTCACCCTCCCACTGCCCACCGGCACCCACCGTATAGCAAAGCCAGGTGCTTCATCTCATCCGCCCGGTCACCTCCCCATCACAAACCGAGCCCACCGCATCACTCTGCTTGAATACCGTTGCATGTCGGTTTCGTTCATGTTACAGCGATTGAATTTGAATTCTGCTGAACTGTTAGAACTGCTCGACCAGGTTTATTATAACGAAGATGATGACGGTGATGATTGCAATATTGACTGCGATGCTGGATGACGGTGGGTGATCGGTGACGGGCCGTGATGATACCGGATGATACGGGTGGCGATACTGATCATGAATCATGATAATGATGGTGATGACGATAACGATGCTGATCATGGGTGATGACGCGTCGTGGTGCTGGCGCTGGTGCTGGTGCTGGTGGTGGTGGTGGTGCTGCTGGTGNNGGTGGTGCTGGTGGTGCTGGTGGTAGTGGTGGTGGTGGTGGTGGTGGTGGTGGTGGTGGTGGTGGTGGTTGTGGTGGTGGTGGTGGTGGTGGGGTGGGTGGGGTGGGTGGGGTGGGTGGTGGGAGGTGGTGGTGCGGGTGTCTCGCGTATGTTGTGTGGGTAAGACTGGCAAAGTTGACATGAGAGCTTCTGTGTTTCATTGCTTGGCACGGTGTTGTGAGAAGACAGCCTAAGACAGACTCCGGCGTATGCCCTGGCATGGCAGACAGCAGCTGGTTGTGGTGTTGGTGTGGTGGGTTTTACAGCCAAAAGCCCAGGCTGCGATATTCCCAAAACCCCACTCCGATGCTATGCCTGACTCATCATTGAAGTATCTGCCGCAGTTTGCTCATGCTGCTCCTGCACCATGACATCAACCCTGCAGACTAAAGCCGGCGACTAACCAGTGGCCTCAAATCTTCAACGTAACGTCCACAATTCATGGCACCGCATGTATGTTGCTCCCTTTGGCGTTCTGTGCAACACGTTAATGCTAGCAGAAAAACTCAACCGTAGATGCCTGAGAGATGTAGGTTCTATATGTATGCAATACCCGACATTGTTGCTTAGTAGGTATTGAAGGGCCCAGGCGGGTAGGTGCGCATTATGTGAGGTCAGATCTGATGAAGCGTGGGTGCGTGGCGCTGGCTCCGTGTACGCCCGGCTGCTGACATGCATGGGCCTCGCCATCCGAGTCTGCGGGCAGAACTGCACAGCGCCACGCTCCCGAGTTCCTGCGGACGTTTCAATGCTCCGTTTCGGCGGCTTCGCTTCACGAGATGATCTGCTCAACCGAGGCCCAAACATGCCACATCCAACCTCGGCGAGTCGTGCACAGGCCGGCAAAGGGCTATAAGCAAAAGCCTCCGCACGCGGTCGCCAAGTTCGCTAAATCTGTTTGCCCCAATTGTGACGATTTGTCCTGGGGCTCCCAGTTTGGAAGCTCTGAGGGGTTCAGCTCTCTAAATCCGTCTCTCGCTTTGCATTGCTCTCTTCGTCTTGTCTCACGCAGCCGAGGTCCTAGATGTGTTTTTGGCTGATGCTGTCTATTTTCGTCCTCCTCCTTCCCCCCCCGTCGGTATGTTCCGTATCACTGGTCTCGGGCAACGTGTTATGTGCATGGCCTTTTTGCTTCTCTGTGCCCTTCCCAACTCATGCCTGGCCTCGCCGCACTCCCCGCCTGCCGGCCGCCAGCACCGCCTGCCCCCTTGCTTGCCCATGTCAGCGCCAAGCCAAGGCATGTTTTAAAGATACCTTCTGGAAGCCATAGCCACTTCAGTCTTGGACAGTCTTGGTACTCGCTCTACATCTGTGGTTCAGGCTGCTCTTGCTTCTCGGACTACATCATGACTTCGTTCGCACTACAGTGATTTGGCCTTCAGCTTTTCCTACTCCTGTTGCGTATTGTCCTACGACTACATGTCTAGTTTGAATTTACGGTAGAGTAGAATGCTTAACATCAAAGCCATATCAGGGACACGGCTAAGGTTGGGGCAGGGACACGGCTTGGGTTACGGATGGTACATGGTTAGCAAAGGTAAGGACACGGCTTGAGCTAGAGCAAGCACATGGCTAGCAAAGGTGAGGAAATGGCTTGGGACGGGGCAGGTACATAGATAGTAAAAGGTGAGGACACGGTTTGGTTTTGGGCAGGCACAAGGGTAGCACAAGTGAGGACATGGGTTGGGGCAGGTGATTTTGAAGACACGGCTCTGGGAACGTACTTACAGTCTTAAAATGTCTTAGAATTGCCCAAAGTTCCTTGGATTTCGCGGCCTTTTGGAGGCACAGTCTGGGTTGCTGTTTACATACTCGGATGGAGGGGAAGGGAGAGGGGCTTGGTCGGCAGCAGCCCGTCCGCCCCCCGCCACGACCACTGCCTCACCTGAGCCATGTCCTTTCAGACTTGCGAGGAGTTGCGAGGACTTCCGAAGACTTCCGAGGACTTTTCGAAAGGACATGGGTCAGGAGTTGTGGGGGACACGGCTTGGAACTTCGCATGGACTTTGGAGCACTTCCGAACAGTGAAGACATTTTCAGAAAACACGGCAAGGTGGGAGGGAGGGGGCTTGGCCGGAAGGTGGTGGAGGGGTGGGGAGTGGGGCCTGTGGAAGTCTGCAGGAGTGTGCGGATCCTTCAAACCCAGACTCCCCCCGCGCCCCCGCTCCTTGTCAGACCATGATAACCTCCACCGCGACGCAGGTTGACACCAAGCCGGATCCACAAATAGACCTGTAAAAGACCGTGTCCAAAAATCAGGCACTTATGGACCGAGCCAGATCCCAGAATGAAGCCTATTTATACTACATGTGGACCGTATCGTTTGTGAGTGGGCCGGCTCCGACAATCAAGCCTTCATAGACTCAGCCGTGTCGCCCATTGAAGTTGTTGATAACTGAACCATATCCATGTTTGGTGCAGGACGTGACCGCCCTCATATCAGTCAACGATAAGCATTCCACGCGGTTTTCAAGTTCCAATCTGGCTACCAGGACGAGTGCACACTACAATAATGGATCCCATTGCCTTTCTCTGGGGTGGGCAACGAAATATTGTATTCCTAAATGGTTTCCACTGTCCATTGTTCCAGGCTTAAGGGTCAAAGTAACAATTGTGGTGCCCCCCCGCGTCTCTCATCCGCAGCCCTCGAAAATGATGAATCCCTAAATGGTTGTCATTTCCAATTCTCACTTGAAACCCATGTTGGAGGGACCTCTGAGACTCTTCTGTCCACACACGCTTCAGTGCAAACTGTATACATGAGGTATCATGAGGTGATGATAATCGACTTAAGTGCGTGTTTCAACGCGGGATCAATAAACCCGAGTCCGTCGACCTAGAGTACTGCTGATCCAAAGTGTCCTACGATGGCCTTTGTTGCCAGCTTGTGAGCATTGCCAGGACACTTGAGCGACTGCGTGCCCACCTACCACCAAAATGATTTCGCGGTAGACACGTCGGCTGCAACCCTCAATAAGGGCCATTTGCAAGCCTTGAGGGAGAAAGGGAGGTCCGATGATGCTTACGATGCGAGCTCTCACGAACCCCCCCCCCCCCCCCCCGGGCACACAAGCTGCACGCTCCCGTCACCCACTTAGCTCTACTCAATTCGCCTTATAGCTGTTGTCGTGGTTGCTCTGTGTGGCAGTGGCTGCCCTCTTGGCGGTGGTGGTGTTGCTGACTTGTTACTTGTGCATGTTGCCCGCTGCTTGACTGTCCGACGTTGTTGCTTCTCGTGTTGCCGACACACTCGCACGCCGAGTGTTATTCGTTCTATCGCTTTATGCTTCTAAGAAGTCCTGTCCTGACAAACAGGGTCATGTAGTATGAAGTTGCCCGAGGATAGAAACCGTCAATTAAGGCTGCAGCTTCATGGGGCATGGCTCGTTGAGTGCAGGCTCCTACACCACAAAGGCAGACCTGCAATGCATCAATGCATGGCAGAGAAACGCCAACACAATCTCGGCAAAGCGCTGTCGTCCACGAGGCTGCCGCCGCCAAAGTAGTTCGATTCGCAGGAGAACCTCAAGTGTGCATGGTGCAGTCTCTCGTCGCTGCTGTCTCTGTCTTTATCACTCTCACAACTCTCCTTTTCCTTGGTTTCTCGGGTCCAGGCGATTCGCAGTGCGAGTTTCGAGCGCTCTGGAAGCGACACTAAAAATACCCAATGCCCAGCCCGCCGCGAACCTGAAGACACCGCGAGACCCGCGCCTGCGGCCCTTCCCTTCGTTGCGGGGGGTGGGGGCATTTGGAGCCATGAGCGTGTGAGCCTACCCTCGCCGCGTGGCTGCCTGTCGCACCCCCAACCCTGAAACTTGATTAGCCCGCATTCCGGTCTCATCCCGGCCTCTACGGCAGAGTCCTACGACAAGTTCCCCCGCTGGTTTCCTACAAGCCTCAAAAGGAGTTTCTGAATCTACTGAAAAGGCAATCCAAGAAATTTACGAACACCGCTACATGCACAGATTCAGCTCACCTTTCGTAGCTCCACCCTCACTTCTCCGCGTGACGATCCATTGCTTTGGCTATCCTGTCACTTGTCGCTTGTGCCCGGACGTGCAGTTCCAAATGTCCGGCGTCGTCTTGGTAAAGGATCCTCTCTCTGCTTGCTTGCTTGCTTGCAAGGGCTGTGGGGACGTATCCCACAGCCCTAGGGCCTACCCCCAAGGTTCGTGTCATCTCTCCCCTATTTCTTTCGCCAGGGCTAGGGTGAGAGGGCAGACACCTCCCACCGCGTGTGTTAGCACTCTATCTCTCTCTCGTGTTCAGACACGCCAGTGCTTGCTCGACAGGCACGATGCCGCCGATACCTCCGCAAAGGCAGATTTGGCTTCAGCTGCATTCGACTCCCGAAACCTAACAAACACTCAGAAATGCATATGCCGTGTTGGCGGATGAGTGCACAGGCAGATCTTACACGAAGGCGATAGCCGACCGCAGCCGACCGCTCCGCACGGCTTCGTGTCACCAAAGTCGTTGCATTGGGCGCCTTCCCCAAGTTCTGCTCGCCTTGGTTCCTTCATTGCTTCGGAGCCGTGACATACCGTGACCATCTCTCGTGTTCTTGTTCTGTCGCCTGGCTTGAATTATACCTAGTCTTTCTCTCCCTTCCTTCTTCTGATGCTCTCTCGCACAGACTACGTCTGCGTCTCTCGTTGGCTGTCTCTGTCTTCCCCCACTCCTTCTCTCCGTCTTTCGAACATGTGCCGCTCTAAGCCATCTGCGGCGCTGGCTTCCTTCTGAACGTCCTTGCATGAAAGGCCTCTGCCAAATTGCCATGCTGCTTCTGCTGCTGACTCCCGTGAAAGACTTAGCAGAATCAGGCGTTGTCCAAGGGCTCAAGCGGAGCGGTGAACGAGTGGCGAGTTGCATGAACAACACATACAGCACATGAACGATCGGAGGACTGCTGCACAAATGCAGCAACAACGCATCTTTGATGTAAGCCTATGACTCTGCGACTCTGCATACATAAAGCCTCATTAAGCGCATTGAGTGCCTCTGGGCTGGCAGCTACCTGACAAGTTGCGTTCTAGCTGCCTGATGCTGCCAGAAGCAACATGCCTGTGAGACGCATTCGTCAATATGGACAAGTTGCAAAGAAACCGGTCTCTGGGCTGGGCCATGGACGCAAAGCAATGCCACCTTAGACCGTCGCCATGGGAAGGCATCTTTGCAAGTGCTTTGGAAGCATTTGGATTCGTGCGGTGTGCGTCTACTGCTTTGGACTCTTTGTTTGAGCACTGGCCGAGACAACTTGTCTCCTCGCACTCTCTGGTGTACTCGCACTGGGGATATCGGGCCAAGACCCGAGCGGCCGGGTCAGTCCTGCTCCATCGGCGTCCTGTGCTTCATCACCGTCTTGACAGAACAAAACTTCTTCGAGAGTTTTGCCGGGATCTGTAATTCTAAGCGCCGGACTGCCCCTTCGGCTCCGTCTTCGACCTTCGAAGAAAATCGCCAAAGCAAGCTGTTACATTGAAAAGGAGCGCAGCGAGCCGTAGTGACATAGTGGCATCTCGCATTCCTTTTACTTTGCCACCCTTGATGCTGCCGTGACCCTTTGCGTCGCACAAAATGCACAAACCTACAGATCAACGTCGATGACCACGCCTCATCTTGGTCTCCAATTGATCCAATTGGCTGTGCGGCAAAAACTTCCCGGGTTCTGACGGCAATCCGCTTGCCGTCTCTGCCCTGCCAGAAAGTCATCATTATCATCAGCAATCATGGAACATCGTCAACCCGATTTCCGAGTTGTGCATTGGACAGAAGGATGAAACGAGGAGGTTGTAAACCAGAAACTCAACAAGAAAGCCAGTGTAAACATTCAAAGGCTTGACCTTGGACATGTCATGAATTGATGCTGGCCGATGACAGAAGAAGGCTAGACCAGTAAACTTTAGTAAACCATCAACTTTCAGCCCCGCACACGCAGCAACAGCCATGAAAGAGATTCTGATTTCATCCGGCCACCTCTGTATGTGCCATTGCAGCATGGTTCCGAGCCGCAGCAGGCACCAGAATCGGGACACCAGTCTTGAGCACAGCATGGCGACAAACATCAGCTGTTGCCAGTGTGTAGAATAGAAGCAACCGATAAGCAGCTCCTCAACAGGTTCCTGGAATCTGTGCTTTGGATTCTTTTGCTACCTGCATTGAATTTCTGCCAACAAGCTAGATCATCCATTGGCTTACGAACTTGGTGGCTTCGCCATGTGCAGGGCAACAGGCAGGAATCCAGCGAAGTGCAATCCTGGCATTGTGAGGACGTCCCGCAAATCTTGTGAGCCGTGGCAACTTGCTTCCACCTTAAACTTTGAATGAATGCCACAGGCACACTGCATGCTCCTTGCAAGAGCCTGGGGCCAAGTGTGGACGTGCTCCAAGTCAGTTGGAGGTGCTTCGCGTGCATGAGCTGTAATCATGTCCGCGTCTCAATGGCTTCCTTCTCTGACAACTCTACGGACAATTCTCCAGCTTTCATCTCGGATGTACGCGTGAAGACTTGTTCTATTGAGTTGTCAGAGTCCAAAAAACTACGTGCCACAATGGGCACCACTTTGGAAGGGTGACACATTCGGGGATTGGCATGAGATGCAGTGTCGTTGATGTCGGATGGGCTGCATTGAGTTTTGAACATGTTTTGACATGCAATGAAATGAGGTCCACTCCACATCTCAGCGGCCTGTCGCTGCTAACATCTGATAAGGAACAGGATCCTCGCGGAACGGGATCGGCTTGAGGCTTTGAGCATCGCACAGAATTCATTCCCAGCATGTTCGTGCAGCTGAGCAGCTACGAAACTCAGCGAGCAGTGGGCCAGAAGGTCTCAGCACTTTGGAAGCAGCTTTACAGAAATGCCGTTCGTTCGCTAGCCCATTGACACTCCACCGCAGGTCGCAAAGCGAGCTAGAACCGAGCACATGTGACCTGCCGTCTTGGAACCCCTGGAATCCAAAGGCGCCTCGTGCCCCTGTACCGACTCACACGCTCCAGCATGCTTTCGACTCTGATGTCCAGGCTTCTAGCGCATGTCAACGTTACGTCCGTTTTATCTCGAGATGCCAGTCTGATTCTGCATGGTAGTGCAGTCAAACGCGGCTCCAGCACTACCAACAATTGACAACAAAAAACAAGGCAACAACATGACATGACAATGCTGCCCTATAGGGAATCATAATGCTGAAATGCAATCAAGGTGCGGTCCCTGCACGAGTGGCATTTCCAGTCACCGGCAGTTTCCTTTGGATCAGGCAATCGATGTGGGTAAGCTATGTCCAACAACCTCCAATTAAAACAGAGTTTTGTCTAGCTGGGATGCCAAAAGGCCTCAAGATCCCGTCGTATGCCTCTGACCAACGTAATAAAATGCACGGATGTCAGACCGGCTATGCATTTTGCAGCCATCGCAGCTGTCGCTGTCGCAGAAGAGCCAAGCTCCGAAGAAGCTCCTCATGAAGTGAGGAGCAGGTAACTCTTGCGAGTGTACGTAAGCTACCGAGAGTGGTCGGCACTGTCAAGATAATACTCCTTCCCGCTCACGCATTCGGGGATTCCAGATTCCCGGAAAGTTTGCTTGTTGATTTTATCACTCCAGGGAAGCCGAACTCTGCTCTTTGTGTCTTGGTTTCTGTCTGTGAGACGGTGTCTTTGTCTCGGTGTCCATGTCGCTGTCTTGGTGTGAATGAGTGGATGCCTGGGTGAGCGAGGGCGTGAGTGAGTGTCAGTGTGCTTGGGTGTGTGTGTGTGTGTGTGTGTGTGTGTGTGTGCGTGTGTGTGTGTGCGTGTGCGTGAGCGTGCGTGCGTGGGTGTGGGTGTGGGTGTGGGTGTGTGTGTGTGGGTGTGTGTGTGTGTGTGTGTGTGTGTGTGTGTGTGTGTGTGTGTGTGTGTGGGTGTGTTTATGTGTGTTTGTGTTTGTGTGTGT